TTTTTTTTTTTTTTTTTTTTTTTTTTTTTTTTTTCGCTGCATATAAACCAATAGAGTGAATTTAGTAGTCGGCAACTTGATAGAAACAACTTTATTTTTGGCCATTTATTTGCTGACCCTTTTTTTTCATGCAACAAACCATTTAACAGACTATTATGAAACTAATCAAAAGTGGTAACAGCTGTATACCGTTTTTTTTTTCCATCTTTTTGCTTTTTTCAAAAGATTAAATTGCAAAAAAAAAGCCCTAAACGGAAGAAGAGGTAATAGTATTTTTTTGAAATTAAAACAAAAATTTGTAGTATAACATTCAAAGTGAAGGAGTTATTAAAGATAATCAAAAAAAATACTGTCAGGTATTGTCTTTGAAGTGGTGATGTTTGGACTTGAAAGTTGCTGAATCAGTTTTGCATTTTTAAACTGGTCTTTTTCAAAGGGAAGAAACATTTTTTTGAGAGCTAGAGTTATTTAAGAAGTGACCGCAAAAGACAGTAGGTTTTGAAGAACGTAGTATTTGCTAGATTTTGGCGGTGGGGAAGCTTTGTTTACAGAATTGGATAATTACACCGGAAACCTGAGAGGTCGTTGAAAACTGAAGGAGGAAGAGGGGAGAAAAGGTTTGAATTAGCTTAAATTAAAGCATTCTACTCAGTGAAACTTTTTTTTTTTTCAACAAGGATTAACCTTTATTTAGTCACCTTTCAAAAAACTAAACGAACTCTTAGCTTGTTTTTAATTCGCTATCATCCTTTTTAATACATGGAAATAAACCTGGCGGTTTGCCAACATTTTCATCTGAAGTTATCTAGTGAGAGAGAAAAATAACGGTGTTTCACTTTGAACTTTTGCTTCATCCTTTCCTCAATTTTTTTGAAATGTTCCTCTATTAAAAAGCATTTTTTTCTTTTTGAATAATAGATAACAGCATTTAAAACCATCACATTGAAGCACTTCTGATCTTTAAATTCAAATAAATTCTTTTTAAAAAAAAAGTGAATTTTGTCTAGAATTTTTCGATAATCTGCAGACAGATTAGTTTACTGTTAATAGTTATTTTTTTTGGAAACCAAAATGAATAAATAAATAAAAAGCAAGAAAAAAGACTATTAAAATTTTTAAAACTATATGATTAAAGTAATAAAACTGAGAATACAAATGCTTTGTTTGGATATTACTTTGTCAAATAGCTATTCTTTTATTTTTATGTAATAATGTGTTAAAATAAGGAAAAAAATGCAGTCTGTAAACACATCTTTCGAAAAACAAAAGAAAAAAAAAGTTGAAAATTCAAACAAATTTATTGAATAAACAGAAACCTGTAATCTGCTTTTTTTTAGGTGACTAAGTTTTTTATGTGCTCCAACTGCTGTTAAAAGTCTGCAGAAGAGAGTGTTAACCAACAGCTTTGAAATCTCGACTAACGGTACTCCGAATTGTTGAAAAACAGGTAGCAAATAGATCTTTTGCTTTAAATAAATAAATAAATAGGTAAATATATATATATATATATATATATATATATATATAT